ACTTCTGGGTGTGTCTGGGTGGGTCATGGGAGTGTGACCTTTGGTTTGTATCTGATCCCTGGCCCGTGCTCTCTGCAGTTTCCCTGTCTCTGCTTCCTGGCTTCTGTGAGGCAGGCAACTTTCCTTCACCATGCACTTCCACCATGTTTCTGCCTTGGAGCCAGCCAACCATGGACTGAAACTGTGAACTAAAAACAGAGCAAAAGATTTGAAAAACTTGCAGTCTAGCCGGAAAGGAAGTGTGCATAAAGTTAGGAGCAAAGAAAGTGTGACTGTTGAAGAGATTGGCACCATTAAAAAGAAGTCAAGTAGTTTGTGCTTGAGCCCAGATAAACATTGTCTCCTTTAATTGTAGATGTCACTTATTTTATCCTACCAAAAGGGGAAGCTGACTAATACAAAAAATTGATACGAGTAGTAGGGTCACTGCTGTGATTATATATGACCATGTGGTTTAGAAGCCTTTAGAACTGGTCTGTAGGAAGAGTCTGGAAAAGTTTGAAGATGAGGGCTGGAGAAGCCCTAGAATGTTGCAAGCAGAGATTGAAGGGCAGTTTTATGGGAAGCTGAGGCAGGAGGATTTCTGCAAGTTTCAGGCCAGCCTGGGCTATATAGTTACTTCAGCAGCAGCCTAAACTATACAGAAAGACCAACCCCCGCTAACCCCCCAAAAAACAAACAACAACAAAAAAGGGGCAGTTTTGGTGGGAGCCAAAGACTGAAAAGCTGACAGGAATGTGGACAGTAATGACTGTTTATGAGATTTCAGCGGGGAACAAGGATGCTGCCAGGAACTGGACTAGAGGCCAGTCATGTTACATTCTGGTGAAGAACTTGTCTATATTTTGTCCATGTCTTCAGACTTTTCAGGAGTCTCAGTTTAAAAGTGGTAAGTAATGAATCTGGTGGAGGAAATTTCAAGGTGGCCAGCAATGAGAATTGTGAGCTGAAAACAGAGCAGAAAGATTTGAAAAAATTGTAGTTTGGCCAGAAAATACATGTGTGTAAAGTTAGGGGCAAAAAAAGATGTGATTATCAAAGAGATTAGCATCATTAAAAAGAAGCCATGTATTTTTCACTTGGACAATAAGAAAGATATTTTCAAGACATCTCAGGATTGCTGGGCGCACACCTGTAATCCCAGCACTTGGGAGGCTGAGGCAGGAGGATCTTTGTGAGTTCAAGACCAGCCTGGGCTACAAAGTAAGCTCAAGTCCAGCCTGAGCAGCATAGTGAGACCCTGTCTCAAACAGACCAAAACAAACAAACAAACAAACAAACAACAACAACAACAAAAAAAAACAGGCGGGGGATACAGCTCAGCAGCATAAACACCTACCTGGAAAGCACAAGGTCCTGAGTTTGATCCCCAGTACCAAAAAAAAAAAAAAAAAAAAAAAAAAGACATCTCAGGAATTGACCAGATCCCACCGACCTCAGGCTCAAAGATAGAAAAGTATGAAGTTGTTTGAAAGATTTTGCTTTGAGAAGAGAGCCCCAGGGTGCCCTCTTCACTCCAGGCTACCTCAGGAAGTACTTCCCTATGTTCAGCCTTCTTAGGCACCCGAAGGTCACTGCAGCTGTGGCCCAAGGGCCTGGCTACTGCTTACACTGGCAGCAGACTTTGGCATAGTCTGTGTGATGCTGGTTTTGCAGGCATGCAGAATGTAAGAGTTGTGGAGTCAGGGAGGCTACCACCCAGAGTTCAGAGGAAGGAAGCTAGGCACTAAGAGATAGGGTCAAAGTCTCTATCAGGGGCTCTTGAGTGGGTGATGTGTGAAGCTGAAGCTCTAACGGAGACCACAGGAAGTTTGAGATGCCAGGAACATCTGCTGAGGAAAGCTGCAGGCAGTGATCGGAGTCAGCTGGACAGAAAGGCCATTAGGCTGCAACTGGCAAGGCTGTGCAAGGCCTTTGAAGCTCACATCTCTACTACATGCTCTGAGTGCTGGTAATGGTGCTGTGGGATTTAATGTTTTTCCTGCTGAGTCTTGCTGTGGTCCTATTCCTTTTTAATTCACCTATTCTCTTTTAGAGTGGGCATGTTTACCTTGTACCACTGTATCTTGGGATTATTTAATTTTTAAAAAATTTTACAGGGCTGCATAGCTAAGATTTTCCTTGATTTGCAGAAGAGACTTTGGACTTGGCCTCTTTTTTTCTTTTTCTTTCTTTCTTTTTTTTCTTTCTCTCTTTTTTTTTTTTTGTTCTTTTTGAGACAGGGTCTCACTATGCAGTTCAGGCTGGCCTTGAGCTCACTTTGTAGCCCATGCTGGTCTTGAACTTGCAAAGATCCTCCTGCCTCAGCCTCCTGAGTGCTGGAATTACAGGCGTGTGGATTTGGACTTTTGAGCAATGTTGTGTGGAATTTGCTGAGACTTTGGGAGAGGAATTAGTGTGTTTTCAGTTATATGCAGGATGGTTACATCTTTTAGATGGAAGCATAAGTTTGTTATTGTGTTAATTTGGAGGTTAAATATGGTTCAAGCAGATGTGATTAGGTGTCAAGTTGACAAGGGGTGGACTTGTGATGGTTAATCTTGACTGTCAACTTGACTGGCATGTGAGATGCCTAGGAGATTAGTAGAGCACCCGTGTGCCTACATAGTAGGTGGTCATGACCTTGGGGACCACATCTGGTCACTATTGCTGCTTCTTGGCTACCATAAGGGGGCAGCTTTCCTTCACCACACCATCACCCATCATGCAGTTTGTCTTGGATGCAGTGGGCCATGGACTGAAACTTCTGAAACCATGAGCTGGAATAAACTTTTGCTCCTTTAAGTTGTATATATCAGGTGTTTCATCCCAGCAGTGGACAATCTAACTAATACATTCACTGACTTTTTATCTTCTGCCCATCTAATTTGTTTTGCTCTGAAATCTTGCTATTAATCTAATCTGGTATATTTTTCATCTCAGAAATTATACTTCTCATCCCTAAAAGTTATATTTTGGTCTTTTTTGTATTTTCCACGTCATTAATTAACATGTTCAACATTTTCTCTTGGTTTGTAAACGTGAAATACAGTTATAACTTTTTTTTTTTTTTTTTACTTACCGAAACAGGGTCTCACTATGCAGTTCAGGCTGGCTTTGAGCTCACTTTGTAGCCCAGGCTGGTCTTGAACTCACAAAGATCCTCCTGCCTCAGCCTCCCAAGTGCTGGGATTACAGGCGTGCACCACCACTCCCAGCAGTAGTTGTAACTTTTTAATATGATAAGTCTTAAAATCTGTGTTGTTTCTGGGTTGTCTTCAATTGATTGATTTTATTCTTCATTATGTCTTTTTTTTTCTTGCCTCTCTCCAGGTCAGGTAATTTTTTTATTTTATCCCAGACGTTGTGAAATTTCCTTCATCAGGTATTGGATACTCTTGTATTTCTATAAATATTCTAGGTTGCTGTTCAATTTTTAGAAATGGATTGATCTTCTCGATTCTAAGATTTGATGAATAACACCAGTGAAGCATTTGTTCTAGGGCTCATTTTTCCCACTACTGAGATAAGAATCTTCTGAGGATTCTACCTAAAGTTGTGAATTATGGGCTGGGGATATAGCTCAGTGGCACAAGCGCCTGCCTGGCAAGTGCAAGGTCCTGAGTTCAATTTCTGGTACCAAAAAAAAAAAACAAAAAAAAAACAAACAAAGTTGTGAATTATGAGACTTTTTTGTATTGCTGGTTGAAACAGACATTATTCCTGGCCCTGGGTGAGCTCGGGCTACCATTCCATTAATCACTTCAGGTACTTCTTCCCCCAGTGACAATGAGTCTTCTCACTCAGGCACCGGAAATGTCACAAATGTGCCCCGGTATGTAAGAAAAGATAATGATGGCAGCACGGCCTTTATCAGACTCCCATGGGCCTCAGACACTCGCTCAATGTGAGACCCTCCTCCACTACCCTATCCACTACTCTGTGCTTCCCAAGTTGCACATCCTATGCTTTTTAAAGTATAACACTTAGGGCCGGGGTTATAGATCAGCGGTACAAGCACCTGCCTGGCAAGCACAAGGTCCTGAGTTTGAGTCCCAGTACCGAAAAATAAAAAATAATAAAGTATAACACTTAAAATCCTTTTCATACACAATTTTGAGTTTTCTGAGGTACAGATCACTTGTACTCTTCTCATAAACTTGAAATTTTTGTTAGTGAAGCTAACAAGCTATTGTTTTTCTAAGTTTTTATTTTATTATTGTTATTATTATTTTGTCTTTTTGAGACAGGGTCTCACTGTGCAGTTCAGGCTGACCTTGAGCTCACTTTGTAGCCCAGGCTGGCCTTGAACTCACAACGATCCTTCTGCTCAGCCTCCTCAATGCTGGGATTACAGGCCTGCACCACCACGCCCAGCATTAAGGTTTTTGTTTTTTTTAAGTTTTAATTATTTTGATTTTGTAAGGTTTTTTTCAGTCAGTAATTTTCTCATGCCTCAAGCATTTGTGTGGACACTTGAAGAACAGCCTAAGCCCAAGGTATGGCGTCCACAGAGCTTGGGGATGGCAGCAGTGGGAGTCGAAGAAGGGACAGATTGGACAGCAAGCATTGCGAGCGCTTGAGCTGCTCTTGATTGGGGTGAGAGAAGAGGAAGCAGGAGAGTCATAGAAAGTAGGAGAGTCATAGCCCATTGCCCAGCGGCCTCGAACACGGTCATTTGCAGAGATGGACCACCAGGAGAAGGCATTCGTTGTCGGAGAGATCGTGAATTCCATTTGGGACAAGACACCACCACTGTCCTATCAGAAGCTGGCCAAATTCCCCTCCTTTCATTGCAGCACACACCATCTTGGTTTGGCCAGAAGTCAGCTGTCTCTCCTGATAGCATTCCTGTTACAAAGACCATAGCCTAGGAATGTTGTAACAATCCTGTGATAGATGCGGGAAGCATCAGTCTATGGAACAGATAGTCCCCAGAGGATATTATACCGGAGAAGGGTGATGTGCTGGGGTCTTGTTGCTTCCCTTTCTTCTCAAAGTTCTTTTACTTCCCTTCTCAGCTTTTCACACAGGTTGCCAGTTCCACCTTTGGTGATGTCATCCTCCAAAGGACGCTGGACTCAGAAGAGCCTACCTGTTTCTACCCGACAGGGGCCACCGAAGGCGCTGTACCCCACAGAAAAAGACTGGCCTAAGGAGGATGATGAAGGGGAGGAAGAGAACTATGTCCTCTACAACCCATATCAGGGCCTGGATTCCCTGCCTCAGCCTTATCGAATGATCAACAAGCTGGTGAACCTTCTGTTTGACCGGTCGTGGGAACTTATTGAAGAGAGGGCTGCTCTGAGGGAAGCTGACAGGACCCGGATCCAGCCTACCATCTATGCTGCACTCACAGAAATCCAGGTATGGAGCAGGCATTCCAGCTTCTCAGTGCAGTGTTAATAAATGAAAACACCTGCATGTTCCAGAGAAAGAATCCTCCTAGAAACCTTTATTGAACAAGACAGGTGCATTTTGGGGAGATTATAAGTGCACTGATGCTCATCAAAACAGACCTGGAAACCGCTTGGGGAAACAGGGCATTCTGGTTGATTAACGATTATACAGAGGCCTTGTATATTCAGCTGCTCGTCCTGGAGAATCTTCCTTAAGGTACTAGTCTGCTGTCTTACCTGATGGTTGAGAGTCCACCCAGACCTCCGCTCCTGTTCTTCCCTCTGTGAACGGGTGACTAACACGCAGGACTTGTGGCCATGCTGAGTGTTGTGAATGCCTGTCTGTCCTCGGCCTCTGTGTTTTCTTTGGCCTCTTTTCCCTAAACATGAAATGCTGTCATTGTCTTAAAGCTTGGACAAGAGCTGTAGATGAGGAGCTCGGGGGTAATATGTCTAGGAAGATTCCTTTTTTTTCTTTTTTTTGTTTTTTTGAGACAGGGTCTCGCTATGCAGTTCAGGCTGGCCTTGAGCTCACTTTGTAGCCCAGGCTGGCCTCGAACTCGCAACGATCCTCCTGTCTCAGCCTCCTGAGTGCTGGTATTACAGGTGTGAGCCACCACGCCCAGCTAGGAAGAGTCCTTGACCCTCTTTGAAATGTTACCTCATGTTACTTGAAGACAGTGACAGCTGAGATTAGTTTCTTTTCTCTCTGCTTTTATGTTCACAGCACAACCAAAGACCCAGTTGTATGGCTATGTCACAGGACTACGTGTTCATTGGAGGAGCCAAAGGATTCTCAATCTATAACCTGTACAATGCTGAACGCATATATGTTTGGGAGAAACTTAAGGTTGATGTCACTTCCATCTGGGTCACAGATTTAGGGAGTGAAATACTTATTGCTCCTGTGGATGAAACAGGTATGTGTTCTTCATCTTACTTTTTAGCCTAATTCATAGCTACCTCTAGACCATTCAGTGTAATCGGTCTGAGTGGGGCCAGGCATGGAACATTCTCCTGGGTCATGTTAAACCTATCAGAACAGATACTACACTTGATCTTAGCCAAAAGGCTGAGAAGTGATGTCTCCTGGGTCATGTAACAAATACCTACAGAAAGCGTATGGGGTGCCAGGCACTGTTTAATACTTAGAGCATTTAATCCATACAGCAGGCCTAGGAGAGAAGTACAATGTACTCTCCCTATGCAGAAGAGGTACCCAAGGTCTAGAGGCTATGTAATGCTTGAGATAACCTGGAAAGTGGGTGCGGCAAGCAAACTTCAAACCAGGCAGGAGGCCCCGGTGTCCACACTGCCCAGCAGCCGGCAGTCCCGCCGCTCATGTAAGCCAGACGTTACTTTTCTTCCCTAGCCTTCCTGGAGAGTATGGCATAGAAACCACGGTCTGTATCCTGGGTAGGAGAGCTGTTCCTACTATTTGGCCACAGGAGGCTGGGCTCCCTCCAGCCCGCCCTTGGGTGTGGGCACCCCATGCTGCTGCCCTGGCTCTGGGGCTTGCCTACTCTGGAGAGATGAGAAGACAATGTCAGTGCTGGCCAAGGAGGGAGGTGGCCGTGTGACACTGCGCAGGAGGGCAGAAAGCTGTCGCCGAGCTGAGTCATGTGTGGAAGCAAGCCTCTCCCCAAACAGCAGGCGGCGCAGGCCAGCGACCCGAAGCACCCCCAGGCAGGAGTCTGAAGTAGTCAAAGCCAGAGGCAGACAGGCCAGGAAGCACTGCTGCCTTCAACTAGGAAAGATTATCAAGGTCTGGGCCAAGGCAGGGGCTGCAAAGTGAATAGTGAAAAACGCGCTGTGGTTATGTCAGATGTTCCATTAGTGGGTGTGCGATGAAGGATATAAGGGAACTTTTGGTACTGTTTTATTGCAACTTTTGTGTAAGCCTAAAATTGGCACAAAATAAAAAGTTTAAAAAATGGAAAAGAGAATATGAAGGAAAAATAGCAAGTGATGCAACTTGTGTCTGGGACAGGGAGGCGGAAAGGTATCTCAGCAGTGAGGAAACACAGTCCTCCTCCCTGCCCTAGGTCGCTGGGTAGATGACAATGCCATTCCTTGGTAGCAGCGGCAGGAGACAGGTCTTGAGGAGCTGTGAACTCCACCTGAGCATGCACAGCCTCGAGGCACCTGTAGGACTCTGTGGGAGACGCCGCTGCACAGGGCTTTACAGAAAGGATAATGGTAATCACAGTGCATTAACTGGCAGTCTCATGTCTCTGCAGCCCTCAGTCTGATGGGCTTGAAGGCCGACAGCCTTGTGTCCCTGATACACTCACTTCCATAGAAGAGATACCCATGCATCTCCAATAGGCTGAGTCAGGCTGTCACCCCCTATGGCCAGGTGCCTCAAGGAGGCCTCTATGCTGGGTACCAAGGCCGGCTGTGGGTATCTGGGAGGCAACTAGAGAAAGAGGGGAGGAGTCACGGTGGCCAATGGTTGTACGCTGGAGCCATTAGTTAAATGGAAACCAGAGCGAAGGAATCAGCTATTCATTCAGCTAAATGAACAGTGTGAGGACTGATTGGAGCTGAGGCACTTGGGCTGATGAGACAATCTTTGCTCTCGAGGACTATGAGCTTGCAAAAGATCACAGTGGATAACAGCGTGGAGCGGAAGGGAAGACAGACCACACAGGTGGCTGCGACTCCAGGGATGGGTTTGTGGCCCATGTGCTTACAGAGACCCCGGGGAGAGGCACACAGGGCTGGGTGGGTGGGGGCCCAGGCTGGAGCACAGGGAAGCTGTCCAGGGAGCCCAGGGAAGAAGAGGCACGGGGTGAAGAGGGGTCTCCCGATGGTGCTTCAGAGAGTCCAATATCAAACCCCACGCTTCTGTGGCTTCCGTGTGTTACGCTGGCACCGCTTCTTCTGTTTCAGGTATCATCAGACTGTTCTACTTGTATAAGGATGGTCTATTCCTAATCAAAACCATCAACGAAGTGGTGAGTTCCTGCGTGCTCACCTTTAGCTGGGAAGCAAATCAAGTTCACTTAATCAGAAGGCAGCACTGACTCTCCCTGGTCAGGGCCTCGTCCAAAATACCCAGTTGAAGGAGGTCATCCATCAGGTGTGCAAGCCGAATGCTGGTGGTCAAGGGAAGATGGATGCTGAGGAACTTCAGTCCAGATTTTTCTCTTGAGCATCAGACTAGCACCTGCACAAAGTACTGAGAAGTTTGTACATTGTCCAGGCAGTTTTGTGTTCTTGTTCCTAAGCCCATGCTGTTCTCTTGTTTGCAATGCTTTCCTGTCTCCCTACCTATCCTATCGGGTTAATAATACCCAGTAGTTATTGCAGGCTGATCAGGTCCACAGTCTCCCAAAGGAGTGTATGGTGAAGGCTAAATACAAAGAGGCAAACAGAATGATTTCAGAGCTCCAAGAGGATCAAAGCCCTCTCAAGATTCTCTCAGGGCTAAGACCAAGACCTTCTCTGGGTGGCCCATATTTATTTGGTTATCAGAAGAAGGGAGGGGAGTATTCAAGAAGGGTAGAACCACTCAAGGACTTCTCCAAGTAAGGTATTAAATTAATCCTTAATAAGGATTAAGTTAACCTATCCAGGAGTGAGATGCCTAAGGCTGTAGTCTTTATCTAGTTGAGATCTGATCCAGGTGTCCTTGGCTGTGATCTTGTCTTAGCCTTTGAGGCTTTCCGGCTTCATCTGCCATTACAGGTTTCAGTAGGGATTAGTGACTCACAGAGGTTCACTTACTATGAGTCCTTTGCCCACTCCCAGACAAGCAGCCTAGGCTTTGGACAGATTCACAAGTAAACATAAAAAAAATTTGGTTAATTTAAGTCCTGCTCGGGGCAGCTTCATGGTGGTCTCCATCACTATACCATTTGTGCTGTTTAAATCTCTCACATTCTTTAAGACCAGTGCAAAACACAAACCTCCCCTTTTCTGAGAACTTTTCCTCATGGCTGAGAAGAGCTGCTCTCTCCTTCCTTTGTACTGCCCCCAGGCAGAACACAAATTCTCTTACCTGTGTCTTTTTCTTTCTTTCTTTCTTTCTTTTTTTCAGTACTAAGGATGAACCTAGAGCCTTTGCACTGGCTACATCCCCAGTCTTTTAAAATTGTGAGTCAGGGTCTCACTAAGTCATCCAGGCTGGGCTCAAACTTGCAATCTTCCTGCCTCAGCCTTCTATAATGCTGGGACTAAGGCATGTTCTCATAATAATACTTTTTTTTTTTTGTCCTTTTGAGACAGGGTCTCACTATGCAGTTCAGGCTGGCCTTGAGCTCACTTTGTAGCCCAGGCTGGTCTCAAACTTGCAATGATCCTCCTGCCTCAGCCTCCCAAGTGCTGGGATTACAGGCGTGCACCACCATGCCTGGCAATAATACATTTTTTTTATAGAAAACCTTCCTTGTCACCTTTGGAAATTGCTATATTAGAGCACAAACTTAGTATTCTGAAAGCTAACAAAGGAAAGAATCAAGCATTTATCCTCACTTCCACAAATGGGTTGCACTTTAAGGTAATCCACTAGTGGATGGTGGAAAGGTCTTTGCAGAAGAATTCTGAGAAATGCAGAACGGACAACACACTTGAGCTATCCCCATTCTGTACCTGTGTGCACCGCGATGGTCTAGCTCAGCGGTGAGCACCAGGGGCTGCCGGGGAACTGGAGGGCTGATGAGTCAGAGCCACAGCGCTGGTTTCAGTTACCAGCCTTTTAACATCGCTGGACCAGCGACGGCCTCAGAAAATGATGCAATAGGAAGGGCACAGCACCAGCCCTGGGGACACTGCAAAACAACCAAACTTAGATTTCATCAGCCTTGGGCTGGGGATATAGCTCAGTGGTACAAGTGCCTGCCTGGCAAGCACAAGGTCCTAAGTTCGATTCCCAGTACCACCAAAAAAAAAAATGTAATCAGCCTCAGATCCAATCACCAGCTTACAGGAAATACAGGGGCTCCCAGGAAGTTGTTAAGCAATTATTATATAATTTTAACTAGTTCTCCTTAAATAAATTAGAGAGGGCTTATCAACTTAATACCATGCACACTGGGACTCTCTCAGCGTGCCTGAAACTTGGGTGTGTTTATAGCAGGGTTACCTCTAGGCTGTGCTCTAACTTGTATGTAGCAACCACCAGCCGGTGCAGTGTCACACAGAACTGACTGTGATTCCGTTGAATGGCCACCAGCATAGACTTTACGTTTGTAGACCTGACCACCAGTAGGCCATGAAGCACCGGAAATGAGTCTGAAAAGCTTTTGACAGAAAAGCAAGTCCCACAGATGGGGAGTACGAGGCAGTGGCGGGCAGCTTTTCCTGTCCTGGGCTCGCAGAGGATCGTTGTTCTGCTGTGAACCACAGAAAGCCCTGAGACACGTCCTTCCGGTCACCAGGCGGCGCCTACTCTGTCGCACCTCTTTTCTTTTCAGGATGACACCAGCAAGCAGCCCACCTGTGTGAAGCTGGAGATCTCCCAAGGCGGGGACTTCGCAGCCTTCCTGCTGCAAGGCAAGGTCACCCCGGGGCAGTGGAGAGGGTTCACATTGCCCGCTCCAGATGATTGTTCTAGAAGTCCTGCCTGAGTCACAGACGCACTGCAGACAGGACAGAGGTCCCCAGCACCTTCCCCAAGCATTGGTGCTGACACCAACATTTATGCCAGACTAAGTCAACAACCTTGACACAGTGTTATTAACCGATGTATTATTTTTGAAATGGTTTTTATTTTATTTTTGTCTTTTTGAGACAGGGGGTCTGGGGATTTATCTCAGTGGCATTAGCGCCTGCCTGGCAAGCGCAAGGTCCTGAGTTCGATTACTGGTACCAAAAAAAAAAAGGATAGCTGGGTGTGGTGGCGCTCGTCTGTAATCCCAGCACTCGGGAGGCTGAGGCAAGAGAATCATTGCGAGTTTGAGGCTAGCTTGGGCTACAAAGTGAGCTCAAGGCCAGCCTGAGCCGCATAGCGAGACCCTGTCTCAAAAAAAAAAAAAAAAAAAAAAAGAAAAGAAAAAGAGACAGGGTTTCACTATGTAGTTCAGGCTCACCTTGAACTCACTTTTTTTTTCATTATTTTGTTTTGCTTTGTTTTGTGTTGTTTTGCTTTGTTTTTTTTTTTTTTTTCTTTCCGTTGTTTTGTGTTGAGACAGTGTCTTGCTGTGTGGTTCAGGCTGGCCTTAAACTCACTATGTAGGCCAGGTTGGCCTCGAACTTGTAGTGATCTTCCTGCCTCAGGCTGACCTTGAGCTCACTTTGTAGCCCAGGCTGGCCTTGAACTCGCAAGGATCCTCCTGCCTCAGCCTCCCAAGTGCTGGGTTTATAGGCGTGCACCACCACACCCGGTTTGAACTCACTTTGTAGCCCAAGCTGGACTCGAAATCACAGTGATCCTCCTGCCTCAGCCTCCCGAGTGCTAGGATTGTAGGCATGTACCACCACACCCAGCCTTTATATTTTATTTAGTTTTTAGTATATAATTTACTGTCCTTGTGGGGAGTTAGTTCATGTCTGTAACACATCTTAATCCCTCTTTTCCTCCCTTCCCTCCCACTAATGCTATCATTAACTATGAACTGTTAACCACAGATTTTGTTCGTGATTTCATGAGTTTTTTCACTAACACAGTTTTTTGCTCCAGGCTCAAGCCAGGATCCCACGCAGTTCTATGTCACCTTACTCGCATCCACGCATGCCATTGCTGCAGTTCTGTGTCACCTTACGCTGTTCCTCTTTGTGAGCTTTCTTGGTCTCTTGGTGGTTCCTGGTTTTTTCTGCCCAGGACACCGCAGAAGGATACCTGTCAGATGTTGTGTGGAACCGCCCTCACCTCAGTGTGTCTGAAGTTTTTCTTAGGACTCAGCTTGGGCCGAAGATGTGGGGGAGACAGTGGGAGGCGGCGGTCTCCTCACTACAGCACATTGAGGGCCACTGGCCAGCAGCATGACTCCCTTCTTGTATTAAATCTCCATCGCTCAGGTTAAATGGTACCACAGGTTCCTCCACTGCAGAGCTACTATTTTCCCTTTCTTTTCATTTCTTTTTGCTTTGTCATTTTTTTTGGTTGTTGTCTTGCTGTGAAGTGTAAGGTCTTATAGTGTTGACCTTAAGTTCCTGGGCTCAAGAAATTCTCCTGCCTCACCCTCCTGATTAGTTGACAAAATAGGCACTTTTCCCTTCCTCCACTCTGTAAGGAGCAGGTTACTAAGTACAGAGCACACTCAAGGGGAGACAATTTAGGCACCTGCTGGAAGCAGGAGAATCAAAGATTCATGGGACACATGTTAAAGCCACTATAGTAATTAATAAACATTTTGGGGGAGATAGTTTGAGATGGTGTATTTGTGTTTTCATTGTTTTGTTTTGCTTTGTTTTGTTTTGCGACAGTGTCTTGCTGTGTGGTTCAGGCTGGCCTTAAACTCACTATGTAGCCCAGGTTGGCCTCAAACTTGTAGTGATCCTCCTGCCTCAGCCTCCCAAGTGCTGAGATTAAGGCGTGCACCACCATGCTTGGAGAAATAATGTAAATATCCGTTCCTCATCAAATTCTGCCCACCAATCTAAGCATTCATCATTTAATCTTTCCTGCATTAGCAGAACATATTTTATTCACATGTTTAATGTCTTGATTTTTCAACTTCTAAATATTTAGACCAAATGGGCCTCTATTTAGACTCTATCTAAACAAGAGACATTTATTCTCTCACGGTTCAGGGGGCTGGGAGTCTGAGAGTAAGCTGGCCTGATGATTATGCTTTAAGGGGATGCTTAGGGGATGTTACACCGCGAACAGTAATCTTTCCCAGCTTGACAGGTATTCGCTCCAGAAGTGGAGCCCGTTTCTATAACAAAGTAAGTCCCACATCCACCCTGTACCTTGTCTTCTCAAACGTCGGTCAGCACAATCCCTTGGGGCATCTTTCCCAACTCTGCCCCTGCCCCTGCCCCGCACTGTCACTGCTTGTACATATGCCCCCTCCCCTGCCAGGATTCACTGCCTAGGATTCACTGTTTGAAGCAGAGCCCTGTGGTGGGCAGAGCAGTTTGGCCACCACTGTGTGAGAGGCCCGTGTCGCTTAGCGGCGGTGGCAGGAAGCGACAACCCTCCAAAGTTACTTGGTGGAGGAGACTCGCAGTCACCCTGGCAAGATGATGTGCGCTTCCATCTGCCCATGTCACCTGCCCGCGTGCCACTGCCCAGGGCGCACGGTCCGAGCCAGCAGTTCCGAGCAGGAAGGCCAGCCCTGGCCAACCCTTGTCGCCTGCTTGCTGTTGCTCAGGGATTCTTCGATTTCCCAGTGCAGGAGCCGGGGACTCGTGGCTGGACGTGTATAAATTGCCCAGGGAGGCTTGGCTGAAGGAGGCGGAGCACCTGCCACTCACTCTGAACTCGAAGAAAAAAGTCAGACCGCTGGTAGGAAACATCCCTGGGTCCCTGTCATGGTTCTCCCTGCCCTGGATCCCCAGCACCCCAAATCCTCCAGACTCGCAAGACAAGCGGGGATTCTGGAGGTGCTGAGAGGAAGGCAGGAGCCATGGTTCGTGTCTCCAAAATTGACTTGCTTTGGATAGAGTTTTAAAAGGAGAGACAAGCCTAGTACTGGGAAGCCCGGTTCTCCATCTGTGAGACCCCATCTGACATTTCTTGAGAGGGGGGCTCTTCCTCTCTGACCCCTGCCCCATAGGTAATATTTCCCCTCCCAGGCTGAAATAATCCTTTAATGCCTGCATTCCACTAAATTTCCCAGACTGTGCTATAAAGGGAATGTTGGTTTTTTTGTTTGTTTTTGTTTTTTTGAGACAGGGTCTTGCTCTGTAACCCAGGCTGGCCTCAAACTCCTGGCAATCCTCCTGCCTCAGCCTCCTGAATGCTGGGATTACAGGCATGTGCCACCACAAAGGGAATATTTAATGTACGGGAATAAGTACAGTTGACTGTATTCATCTGGGAAAGTAGAAACACTAACATTTCAGCCTGGTTACATGATGCCCCAGCCTTGTGCCTCAGTAAAGATTAAGACTTAATTTGACTATTTATAGAATGTACACTTACTATTTTTCTTTCCTTTTAACCAACAGCGAGTGAGTACTCACTTAAATATGTCGTATCGTGCCAGACATGATGGTACATGCCTGTAATCCCAGTACTGTAGGAGTCTAAGGCAGGAGGATTGCAAGTTCAAGGCCAGCTGGGGCAGTTTAGCAACTTAGTAAGAGCCTTTTTCGAAAAGTACAAAAGGGACCGGGTGTAGCTGCGTGAAGGGCTGAGTTCAATCCCTAGAACTAAACCACACGGTGTTGGGTGCGAAGCAGTTGTGCTGTTAGCACAGGACAAGGAGGGAGAGGCCCCGTCCTGCGGGTGTTCAGGTTGGGGATCAGACCTGTGTCTTCACAGCTTTCTCCTTCAAACCCTTGCAGAATTTACTCTTTGCACCTCGTTTCTGACACTTGCCACACACTCCCTTGGTTTTTAACATCCTTGATGCGTGAAAGGCCCTTTGTCTTCACTGGATGACGAATTTTCTGGACTAAGGTCAGACCTTCGGCTGCTTTCTCACCAACCGTCCCATAGTAGCAGCAGCAGCAGTGCCCAGCTGACAGATTTTTGGATAGACTAATTTATGATCCAAATAGGAAAAGTGGGCCAGGGATATAGCTCAGCGATACAAGCGCCTGCCTGGCAAGCTCAAGGTCCTGAGTTCGATTTCCAGTACAAAAAAAAAAAATAGGAAAAGCACCTTGGATTGAGGGTGTTACCACACCATAACTTGTTTTTTTTCCCTATAGCCCGGGAAATAACCAGTTAATTCCTGTCATAATGGTAAAACGGTAGTGCTTTTACTATAAATTATATTTATCCAGCCATGGAGGCATATGTATATAATCCCAGTGTTCTGAGAGACTGAGGCAGGAGGATCTCAAGTTTGAGCTCAGCCTGGGCAATTTGGTGACTCAGGAGGATCCTGATAGATAGATAGATAGATAGATAGACAGATAGATAGATAGATCAATAGATTGATAGATTGATAGATTGATTGGTGGCAATATAGCTTAGGGCAAAGGCCCTGGGCTCAATCCCCAGAACAGCAAATATATACATGTAATAAAGTTGTCAAAGTTATGACTATATTTTGTCAATCATAAATATTCACTTCCCAAACATTACAAGTACAGAAACATCACATGGTACCCTAAAAATATGGCCAATTTTTATGTTGTCAAAACCAAGAAAAGAAACATTTTAAAAACTGAATAAATAAATAATTTTTTTAAATTAAAGAAAAAACACTTTAGAGCCAGGCATGGTAGTGCATTCCTCTAATCCCAGCACTTGGGAGGCTGAGGCGAGAGGATCACCATGGGTTCAAGGCCAACCTGGGCTATATAGTGAGTTCAAGGCCAGCCTGAACTGCATAGCGAGACCCTGTCTCAAAAAAAAAGAAACACTTCAGTTTTTTACTTTTGTAATAGTGCTCACATGCATTCGTTCCTATTTCCTCTTATGTCATTAAGTATTCGTTTCCTCAACTACAGCTTAGGATCCGTATAACAGGGCTTGTGTGTGGAAGTCCTATAGGCCCAGCGGACCACCCCAATATTGGTCCTGTAGGTCTACTGCAGGGATTCACTTCCCACAAGAAGATCCGGGAGGAGAAAGGGCATCAGGGACAATCACAGGTTCAGGGAACACACAGCAAACCCATTACGGACTAATTTCATGGACTAATTTCTCATTTTTCTCCTCAGAACACTCTGGATCCCATTACTCCAGACAGTGTAGAGATGGTAAGAAACTTTAAAGAAAATCTTTATAGAAGGCTGGGTATGGGGGTGCACATCTGTAATCCCAGCATTCTAGAGGCTGAGGCAGGAGGATCACTGTGAGTTCAAGGCCAGCCTAGGCTACATAATGAAACCCTTCCTAAAAAAAAAATCTTCATAGAGACTTCTGTTACATTTAAAGATTCTTATTTCTAAATATCAAATATATGGGTAAAATGTCCCACCCAAACACTGTTTTCAGATTCCCTGTGACTTAATCTCATGTCTCACATCACTAAAGTTGGCCTTCTACCCTAGAGGATAAGTGACCCTCGTCATGCCCAGGTCTGGGTCTGCTGACGTCAAGGGAGCTTTCATTTCAGGAGTCCTCACTTCTGGGGCCCCTTTGAAGGTCCAGGGAGACATTCTAGCAGTCTAGTTTTCCTCACTTGGTTTTGTATTTTTGTACAACTGGCAAAAATAGCATATTTAAACCAAGCATGGTGGCACATGCCTTCAATCCCAGGATTTGGAAGGCTGAGGCAGGAGGACTGCTGCAAGTTCAAGGCCTGAGCTACACAGTGAGTTCAAAGCTAGCCCTAAACTATGTAGCGAGACTCTGTCTCAGAAATACAAAAAAAAAATGTTTTTTAATTTTTTTTTTAATTTAAAAAGCATATTGATCCAGGCATGGTGGTGCATGCCTGTAATCCCAGCACTTGGGAAGCTGAGGCAGGAGGATTGTTGTGAGTGTGAGACCAGCCTGGGCTACAAAGTGAGCTCAAGGCCAGCCTGAACTGCATAGCTAAACCCTGTCTCAAAAAGACAACAACAACAA